GCTCGGTCTTGTAAGCAGTATGGCAGTTGGTCAGGAAGGCGGCACTGAGCTCCTTGTCGAGTTCGAAGCTGGCATGACTAGCATTGCCGTAGGTGTTGTCTTGATGCTGAATGCCCCAGTACGTGAAGTCCATAGGAGGAACATCAACAGCAGGAAGGACCTCATCAAGCTCGAGCGACTCAGCGTGATCACGTTGTAGCTCCGCCCATTTTTGGAACGGAAGAGCAGGGGCAAGCAACTGCCCGCCTTTCAAGATCTCTTCAAGCTCTTCAAGCAATAACCTCCACGTGACTAGGTCAACAACTAAATGGTGACCGGTGAGGAATGCATACTGCTCGTCACCGAAATCGAAGAAGTCGGCAGCGAACAGCGGGCCAGAGACGTGATCAAAACATTGCTGCGAGTCGGCGATCTGAGTGTCGATTTCAGCTTGTGATGTTACGTCAAGATGACGAAACCGGTAGGAGCCACTGATATCGTCTGCACTGGAAGTCAGCAATGTGCAAGCGACTCGCCTACAGAGCAGCAGTAGTACACGAGGCCATGTAGGTTGGGGCACTAGCTGTTAGACTTACTTGTAAGACGCTGTTGCCAGCCATGCTCAGGTGAATGCGTGAACCGTGCTCGCAGCATGGAGTGGCGTGTTACGAGCTGTTCCACCGCAGACTGAAAATCGCCGGCGTCGGTCTTACGTGACACCCGGAGATAAAAAGATTGGTTGAAATGGCCATTTGTGTTTGGACGCTTGAAGAAGAGTGATTGAATGGGAGAGAGCTCGAAGTCCTCATCGAAGAATTCCTGGTGGTCATAGGCTGAGTTGCCGACTTCTTTGACAGCAGCCGACAACTGGGTGATGGACTTGCTGCGCAACACCTCTTGGACGCCAAGACTCATGCCTTCCTTCCGACATTGGCCCACGACCTGCATGGCAGAAATGGAGTCTCCTCCAATCGAAAGAAAGGATTGGTCGAGAGGAACATGGGGCAAATTGAGGACATGAGCCCAGATAGCTTGGAGGCTCTCCTCGACATTAGTGACGACTGTTGATGACATGTTGGGTCGTGTGTCGTTCCTGTTAGACACTGGGTGAGCAAATGATTGTATTGAGGGGTCAATGTGATGCTACATCAGGGCATGGGCCATGTGAAGGGTTCTGTGCTAATCGCGCGGTACGCGTTTTGCTTGCATGGAGGGTATACTTACAAAGATCAGGTAGAGTGTGTCTGACGAATCTGATTGTCAGCAACAATGTGATTAATTTACGTACCGTGGATTACAACTTCTCGTCGAGTATGAGAAGGGTGGCGAAGGCAGATGCGTGCCTTTTGTGCTGCCGACAAAAACTTGGGTATAGCAATCCAAAGATTCTAGATTCAGTCACACGGAATGTCTGTGATTGAGAAGATGAAAAAGCTCAGTACGGGCCTCAGGTTCTACTCTTGCATATGCTGCGTGGGATCGTCATTCGGGGATAGTGAGTTACTCCTGAATCCCTTGCCACCTGATACGGGGGTCTCGGCATGGCAGTGAAATCATCATAGGTTATTCTTGTCTGTTTCAAGCCACACAGACTGGAGAAGCATGGAATGCGAGCGCAAACAGCCGGGGCCTGCAGGCAGGCATCGTCTTCGAGAACGAAGAAGCATTAGCTGCAAAGACCCGCAGGCGCCCCAGGCCAGCTTAGAGATGTTCGTGATTGGAGGCGTTGCGCTGGATAGACGAAGGAGACGGACGAGCTGGGCATGAAGCGGTGGACACGCTGGCGAGTTCCTTTTCGAGTTGCACCAAGAGTAGTGCATACCAGATTGTGCGAAACCAAAAAGCAACGGGCGGCTCCTAGTGGGCGAGGGCCATGACCGTCGCGTCTTCGCGAGGCTGGCTGTGACGTGCTTGGCTTTTGCGATGCTGTGAAGTCTCTGCGGAGGTCGCGACAGGTTAATAGGTACATATTGTGGCGTGCGTAGGAACACGAGACGGTCCGACGCGGAGATGGAAGGTGTGAAGAATGAGGTTTGACGCGTCGGTGGCCGGCTGGCTCCTGCTGGTTGGGGCAAGACGCGCGAAAACAAAGATGCGGGGCGCTTATGTAACGCGTCACGCACTAGGCTACAAAGAGCCTTGGTCTAGCTCCAAGCGCCATCGGATGCTCTTCTCCGCCTCAGCGCTGCCCCGGCGCGACTTTCGCTGCCCGTACTTCAAGCCTCCCTACATTGGCATGCGTCTGCATACGGCACCCACGAGCTTGCCGCCAGCTGTCACCGGTCAGCTACCCAACGGGGATCTCGCCTCACGCTGCCACGTTCAACAGTCTGCCACCATCAGCCTCAGTTCCCGAAGCTTCCGCCGCTTCCATGACACGGTGCCGTGACTACGATTCACGTTCCGCTGTCAGTCGCGCTACTGTATGGTTTTCTTTGTACGCCACCTTCCACTTTCTCATTTCCCATGTGTGCATATCCGGAACGGCTTTTGAACCCGCCGCCATCACGCTCCAAGAAGTCTCGCCTGCCGCTCCCGCGAAGCACGCCCTCAAGACCCACACTGTGATGGTGGGATGGATCCATCTCTAAGGCGCACAGCACTTTCCAAGGTCCCGCTCCTGATAGTTAGACATGGTCTAGGTAGTCGACGTCGGATGAGGATTATCCGGCTCCTACCGCTGGTTACCAGGCAGCCGGTACTCCCATCCTAGGGCAGCTCAATCCTCATGTGCGGCTTCCCTGCAACTGATCATGCCTTTTCAGGACTGTCAGCACACGTCGTACCATCTGTCGAAATGCCTTTGTCATCCGCGGAACACGAGCACGTGAACAAACGCGCATCCACTGCATGCTGTCGCCACTATCCAGCAGGCCTCGGCGAAACTCATCTGCCTAGCGGTCGTCAATTTGCTTGACAGGAGCTCAGCCTCGTCGTATTCAGCTACTATTGTGGGGTAGACAGCCGTCCAAGACATATGAACATGGCTGCAGGTACCCCAGAAATCTGATATTACCCGTACGAGCTGCGCAAGCCATGAACTTCACCTGTGGATACACTTGCAGCTCTAAGCTAGTAGTGGAATCTTCCGGTGCCCTTTGGAGTGTTCATCGCGAGCTGTACCGGCCGATCAAAACGTATGCGATCGGCGTTGCATCGATCATCACTCAAGTGCAATGAAGCTACCAAACAACATGGAGACCTACATCGGCACTGCCATGAACCTGGTGCCGTTTTTGCGGTCACATCACACAAGCTCAGCCATCTGCCTTTCGCTCGTCGACACCAATCCCTTCAGCCTGTTTTCTTCGCCTCCTCGGAAACCGATTTGGCACTCCGCCGGTATTCAAGTCCGCAATCTTGACGAATCACTCGTCATAACAAAGAGGCTACTCCGTTATTCGGTCCACGAGGAATCAAGTTTCGCCTACGAACAGTCGATCACTGACAGAGTTCATCGCGTCCTACTGTACCCATTTCAGGGCTTCGTTCTCGCGCCTGAAGTCTCCTAGGCTTCGCGACCATGAGCCTGTACATTGGCGGGTTGGCGAGTCTATAACAGTGATTGGTGCCGTAACCACTCCATGTCTCAGCACGTGAGTGTCTGTGTTTGAGGTGATCAACACCGTTTCCATCTGGATAATTGCCGCGTCACCAGCCTAATTGTTGGATTGCACCATTCTTGATTGAGGGGTAATGCGAGATATCATCGCGGTCAGACCGGTCCGTGTTCACTATCACTCTCCTCACGGTGGCGGAGGTTTCGATCTCGATCAATCAGACTGCACGAACGCGCCTTCATGCACAGGAAAATGTCTATGTGATGACGTGGGTTGCATTTTGACTCCCGTACTTGATTTTATCCAGTACGCAGGTGCGCCTCGGACAGCCAGTGTTGTACATGACCCGCATACGAGAACTCAGGGATCAATGAAAGTGCACTGTTACATCATCTTTACACCTGGAGGATCAATGGTATTCTCGTCAAGGAGTAGCTCCTCCGTCGTTAGCAGTTCAGGCTACTTTGCACTTCACGATGACTAAAGGGCCGATGAACGGCCGTAAGCGATGTCTTCGCCTTTTTTGGAAGCCATAATCCCTCCTTCTTTACATGTCCTATTTTGGCGCTCAACACAGCTAAAAGAGGAAAGGACACCGCTGTCAAACGTTTTCAACACCCCTAGTTCAGAGCACGGTGAGCCAACAGCAATGTCGCCGCGCTACCTGCTACGGCCTTTCGGGTGCGATCGTCGGCATGACAGCGCCGATCTCCAAGCCACAAGCCACAAAACAGGCGCTACGGCTGTGCCAAGGTGACACCGTGGTAGAGTAATTAAGGTTAAGGATTCTCTTCCCGGGCCGCCGACCACACTGTTTTAAGCGCAGGGTGATGGGAGGGGCGCTTGTCGTTGCTGCTAATTCGGGTGGAACCCAGGGCTAATCCAAATCCAAGCACCATGCGATGCCCCTGTCCATTCAAACAGTGTACAACACGACGCATGCAACCTGCATGCACCAAATCCGTACCAGGTTATGAAATGCCAGTCACGCACCCTACTACCGGTATATTCTCCACCATCACTTTCCGGGTCTGCAAGCTATCTGCTTTAGTGTAAGATGACGATGATCTCAGCCAGCCAACTCAATATCATGCCATCAAGATGGCGATTGAAAGCCGTGTTCAGCTCATAATTAATACGTAAGGCGCTACTAGTAGCTCTTGGGGAAGAGAAGAGGTGTGTGTCTGTGTGGCATTGCGGAGCATTGGTCTGAAAGGATCTTCAAACATGCTACCGCCTTGTCCAAGCCGTCGCCGCGAGTAGTCAGAAACACTGACGCAGGGAAGCAAAGAAATAATCACCCTGCCACCCGTCCACATGATCAACATAGGGATTGGAACTACTCAAGCGTTTGTGGGGTTCTCGGGGTTCTCATAGTATCAAGAGTCCCTTCCCTATATGCTTCCCTCGATGCACCATCTACATTGCTAAACAACGTCGACGAGTTGGTTCTCGCCCATAATGGCAACAAGTATGGATCGCAACTGCGCCTTGACGGACGACACCTTTGGTCCCTATGCCGGCGCGGAGTGCCGTGGCGGGTTCGACTTTACTCTTCTCTTTTCAGAGATCTTTCTCTCCACCATACCTCTATCTCTGTTGATAGCTATTGCTCCCTTCAGGATCTACCAACTGTGGTGGAAGGAGACCAAGGTCTCTAGGTCTACCTTGTTATACACTAAACTGGTATGTACTTCATCGCGAGCTCAACACTCAGGTATCTGACCATTACACCACAGATAGCATGGGCCGTCTTCACTGGCTTCGAACTCGCCCTTCTCGTTGTTTGGTCGAACCGACAAGTCCGCAACAGTCGTGCTGAACTCCCTTCCGCTGCCATCAGTTTTGTCGGCGCGTTGTTGCTAGGATGTCTCTCCTACGTAGAGCATATGCGAACCATTCGCCCATCATTCCTCCTCACAGTATACCTCCTCTTCACCAGCATATTCGACATCGAACGTTCCCGCAGCTACGGACTCACCCCAGAGCTTGAGCATGTTGCCACCGTCTTCGGACCCCGCCTGGGACTGAAGGTTTTCCTTGCTATAGTGGAAGCAAGAGACAAGCGCCGACACCTTTTGCCGGACTTCGCCAACAATCCGCCGGAGGCTACCAGTGGCATGTACAAGCGAGCGACTTTCTGGTGGCTGAACTCGCTGTTCAAAAAAGGATTCTCAACTTCGTTGAACATCGAAGACCTTTTTCAATTGGACAAACACCTACGAGCCGACTACTTGCATCATTTGCTTGGATCATCATGGGCAAGAGGTAGGTCATAATCACGTCTGAACATTTCCCGCACATCCGCTAATGCTAGAGCTCATAGTCAAAAACATTGGTGCCCACTCTCTCTTCGGAATGACACTGAGAAACCTTAAATGGTCTATATTGGCAGTCGTGCCACCCAGACTTTTCCTGATCGCCTTCAACTTTTGCCAACCCTTCTTGATCGAAAGGGCAGTCCTCTTCTCCCAAGAAGAAGACACGGCGCAAACTTCAAACATCGGTTACGGACTCATCGGCGCATACATCATTGTCTTCATCGGCATCGCAGTCAGTATATAACCGGGATAACATGTCGTGGACAGCTGCGCTAACTAACCATGCAGGTTTCTACCGGCCAGTACATGCATCTAACGTTCCGATTCATCACCCAAATGCGAGGCGGTCTCATCTCGATGCTATACAACAAGGCGACAGAAGTCACATTGACGGACGTGGACGCTGCATCTTCTATCACGCTCATGAGCGCTGATGTTGAGCGCATTGTTACTGGCATGGAGACTGGCCACGAGATATGGTCCAATACTCTTGAAATCACCCTTGCGATGTATCTTCTGGAGCGACAGCTCGGTGCAGCATGCGCTATCCCTATCGGCGTTGCCGTCCTCTCATTGCTCGGCTCGATAGCAGCCACCAGCTTGGTAATGCAACGTCAAGCACTTTGGCTTGAAGGTATAGAACGGCGAATCGCAGCGACTAACGCTATGCTCAACTCGATGAAGGGTGTCAAGATGGGCGGTCTCACTGAAGTGTTACGAGATGATCTTCAGAAGCTCCGAGTCGATGAGCTCAACATCTCCAAGAAGTTCAGGAAGCTCCTCATCTGGACTATGGGTTTCTGTAAGTCCTATATCATGCAAAATCTCCCCTCATTCACTGACTTTCGATAGCCTACATCTCGCCAATCGTGTCACCCATCTTGGCGTTTGCTGTCTTCTCGGTCATCGCACAAAACAGCGACGGCCAAAGCACACTGGACACCGCCACCGTCTTCACTTCCCTATCGCTGTTCACACTCCTCACTGAGCCTCTAGGGTCTCTCATCATGGCACTTTCCTCGCTCATGGGAGGTGTGGGGTCGTTCAAGAGAATCCAGGATTTCTTGACACTAGCTCCGAGAAATGAGCAGCGCAGATTCCCTTCCATCTATGGTGGCAGCACAACGTCGTTGTTCGCAGGTGAGTCGATCAAGGGATCCGAAACTTCTCAAAAGAGCCGCGGCTCTGTTGAAGTGAAGGAGTTCAGCGCGCTCGGCTCTCAGGCTATCGTGATTGAGAACGGCTACTTCGGATGGGACCCGGTCAAGCAGCCCTCTGGTACCTTGCAGGACATCGACATGATCGTCCCACGCGGGAAGATTACCATGGTCGTGGGACCGGTAGGGTGTGGTAAGTCAACCCTGCTCAAAGCTGTGTTAGGAGAGCTGCCCGTCATGGGTGGCTCCCTGCAGGTGTCTTCCCTGCGGATCGCCTTGTGCGACCAAACCCCATGGCATGTGAACGGCACAGTGCAGGAGAGCATTATCGGTGCAGCAGTATTTGATCATCGGTGGTACTCATCGGTTGTTCGGAGCTGCGCGTTAGATGAAGACCTCCGGCAATTACCCCAGGGTGATCAAACCGAGATCGGCAGCAAGGGTATCGCATTGAGCGGAGGCCAGAGCCAACGAATTGTAAGACACACCAACACTCACCCCTCTTTTCATGATTGGACATTACTAACCACTGTACGTTTCCAGGCGCTTGCCAGAGCAGTCTACGCCCAAAAAGACATCATCATCCTCGATGACTGCCTTAGCGGTCTCGATGGCCAGACCGAGAACCGCATCTGGCACAGCCTCTTCGGCTATGAGGGGCTATTGAAGCGATGCAGAACCACTGTTCTTGTTGCATCCTCTTCAGCCAAACGTCTACCTTACTGTGATCATATCGTCTCTCTCGACAGCAACGGTAGCATCTCGGAACAAGGCCCCTTCGAGAAGTTAAATAAGTCAGGAGGCTATGTATCAGGCTTTGATCTTGGACGCGCCGACTGGGACTACCGCCCAGAGAAGCACATCTACGAAGAGCCGCCACGATACACTGAGCGTCAAGTCACCGACGCCCAGCTCACAGAGGACGACGTCCAAGCGGAAGCGAACCGCCGCACTGGAGACACAGCCATCTACCTCTACTACATCAGCACTGTGGGTTGGATCCCGACGATCATCTTCATCATTTCCATTGTCATCTTTATCTTCGGTATCTCGTTCCCAACAGTTTGGGTGAAGATGTGGGCTGAGTACAACGAGAACCACCCCAACGAGCGACTCGGTTACTGGCTGGGCATCTACGCCATGCTTGGTGGGCTTGCTCTCTTCTTCCTCATGGTCAGTTGCTGGCAGCTCATTATCACGATGGTACCTCGTTCTGGTGTCACATTCCACAAGAAGCTGCTGGATACAGTGCTCGCATCGCCCATGTCCTTCTTCTCCACCACCGATACCGGAGTGACGCTCAATCGCTTCAGCCAAGATCTCATGTTGATCGACATGGAGCTGCCAGTCGCTGCACTGAACACCTTTGCCACTTTCGTTCTGGTCATCGGACAAATGGTTCTCATCGCCGTCGCGGCTCCCTACGCAGCGATCTCATTCCCTGTCGTCATTGTCGCAGTCTTCTTCGTACAGAAGTTCTACTTGCGCACGTCGCGTCAACTCCGCTTCCTCGATCTAGAAGCCAAGTCGCCGCTCTACACTCAGTTCAACGAGATACTGGAAGGCTTGGCGACTATTCGTGCCTTTGGATGGCAGAGTTTCGTCGAAGAGAAAGCCAAGGCGCTGCTTGACCGCAGCCAGCGTCCCTTCTACCTTCTCTTCGCGGCACAACGATGGCTGACGCTTGTCTTGGACCTCGTCGTTGCAGCTGTTGCCACCATTCTCATCGTCCTCGTCGTCACACTAAAGGGAAAGCTCAGCGCAGGATATGTCGGTGTTGCACTACTGAACGTCGTACTCTTCTCTCAAAGCATCAAGCTGCTCATCTCCTTCTGGACTCAGCTAGAAACACACATCGGAAGTGTGGCTAGGATCAAGAACTTCACCACCGATGCCATCGCGGAAGACCATGAGAGCGAAGATCACATTCCCGCTTCCAACTGGCCAAGCGCGGGCAAGATCGAGTTCAGAAGCATCGAAGCATACCACCGACCCGGTGAGCCCGTCATCTCAAACTTCTCACTCTCCATCAACCCTGGTGAGAAGGTCGCCATCGTTGGTCGCACCGGTAGTGGAAAGTCGTCGCTAGTGCTCTCACTCTTCCGCATGGTCGAGCTCTCGTCTGGCAGCATTACCATCGACTCCGTACCTCTTACCCGCATTCCTCGTCAAACCATCCGCAGTCGCCTCATCGGCCTACCTCAGGACGCTTACCTACTGCCCGGCTCGATCCGCCTTAACGCCGATCCTTTGAGAGAGTCGAATGACAAGGCCATTATGGCCGCGCTGAAAGATGTCCAGCTCTGGGACATCATTGTGTCCAAGGGCGATGTCGACAAGTACGCGCATCCGCTAGATGTCGAGGTTGAAGACCTCCACTTCTCGCACGGACAGCGCCAGCTCTTCTGCTTAGCGCGCGCCATGCTCAAGAAGGACAAATCCACCGTGGTCGTCATGGACGAAGCCACCAGCAAGTAAGTCATCGCACATTCCATCCCGCTCTCTCAATACTAACAATGACGCTTAGTCTCGATGCTGCAAGCGACGCCCACGTCCAACGCCTTCTTCGCTCCCGCTTCCCACATCACACCCTCATTACCGTCGCGCACAAGCTCGACACCATACTTGACTTCGACAAGGTCGTCGTCATGAACAAGGGCCAGCTCGTCGAGTACGGCTGCCCGCACAAGCTGTTGGACCGCCAAGGGAGCTGGTTCAAGAGCCTCTACGAGGACACCGCACGAGGAGGAGACGTAGAGGACGACGATGACGATGACGCGATAAACACCCTATCGCGGTAGGCACAGAACTGGACATATACATAATGATAATGGGGTGACGAGTTCATTTCTTTGCACATATGTCTGCGGGTATACAAAACATTTCCTTTGTCATCACATCGGAGCCAAAAGGCGTTGGGGTATAGCAGACTGTGTTTATTTGTTTCCACCTCTATATTTATGAAGAAGTCAAGAGGTCTTCATGGTATCACACTTCCATAATATATACTATCATACTCCGAATCCTCCACAGAAATCAAGACGCACGTGAAAGCTCCACCACAACCTCCTGGCCTTGGTTCCTGAAGCCTTGCAGCAACCAATTCTTGATACCGGCGATGACATTCTCGGGGTTGCCATCGATAGTGTAGGCGGCTACCATGTCGCTCTTGATATAAACCAGACGGAGGTGCTTCAGGGACTTGTTGTCGAAGATGGATTTCATCCCGTACTTCCGAACAATATCCGCAACCGACCTCGTCACCCTTCTCTTAGCCCTCTCAGGATCCACCCGTTCTAACTCTTGAAGCTGCCTCTCACCGAACATGGAATCTGTAATCGTCGACGTATGCAGAGTGAAAGCCATTTCTTGCAGTTCAGGCAGACTTGAAGCGAGAGCGAGATACGGGTTTGAACTGCGGTTGTCGGTGATGCCGGAGAACCAGTGAAAGCCGTTCATGTCGACTTTGAGGATGTTCTTGTCAATGTCGGGAAGGACTTGCAGCATATCGCCGATGAAGTAGGTGTCGGTGGTAGAGGCGACGGTGAAAGTCAGAAGGCGGATGTAGGGAAGGACGGTGTTGTTCCATTCTTCTTCTTTTTCGGCGTTGAAAGTGATGCCTTTAAGGAACTGGGGGCGACCGGGATTGGCTTCTGGTGTACTGGACTCGGCGGCGATGTCGACGGTGAAAGGGCCTAAAGAGATGGCACAGTTAGAGTTGGTGGATACAATGAGGAGAGTGAACTTCATTACCATTGCAAAGGATGTGCCAGATGGCGATGTTGGCGTCATCGGGTACACGGACATGAGCCAATCCGTGGACTTGAAGGTTGCCAGTGGTGTTGGGGTTGTTGGAGCTAGACATGATTATTGTGTGTATAGCTTCTGGGTGGTGGTTCCGATATAGGAAGGAAGATGATGATATAGCGAGGTATGTCAGGCGGTGGAGCCTTGAGGTGTAGGTAAGGAGTCCAAGTCTAGTGGTGGTAAAGGATCCTTATATATGGCCCTAGTCCGAGACACGAGCTCACCTGCAATGATGTCCTTGTGACAAAAGCGTTTGCTCAAGGTAAAGGAGAAGGCCAAGTCAAAGGCGAGGAGGAGACTGATGACGCGATCGATATATAACCAACGGGCCCATATCCAGTATAGTTGAGAGTGTGAGAGCGATGGTCCACTGGCAAACGCACACTTGAGCCCTCTTTGTACCCGACTTAATCAGCAATTGCGTTCAGTGTGCTCATGAGGATCTATCAGTATATCAAAGAAGACGTCAGGGGCCACTTGCATGTGAAAGAATTCTCTCATTGCCGTTTGTATCCTCATTCACGTCAAGTCAGGGGACTACATCAGGTCCAGTTTGACATAGAATCGGTGCGGCAGCGCTCCGCAGAAAATGATGCATGCGACTGACTATAGCAAACGCTCTAAGAAAGCCGGTTATTCACAAACGTCCGAGTCTCGGTCAAAGCTCTGTCTGATATTACGACAAATCTTGCATTGAGGAGACTGTGGTTTAGAGACGTAGCAAAGTGAAGGATGTGTGCGAAAAATGATCTGAGTCAAATGCGTTCTTCAAGTGTCAATGTCGGTCCCTCCATACGACCAACTAATAATTACCGAAACTATTTCAGCAATAAACTTTGGACCTAACAGAATCTTAATGTATGGTGTTGTTCGCGGAGTAATCAAGACGGGCGGCGGGGTATTATCTGACCGGCTAAACTTCGCTGCTGACATAACCCCGGCCGTGTCCGTGACGCGACACAACACTCGGCGTTGGAAAGATCGTCGGGATGCCCAGAGTAATCGCGGACTCGTTTCACAGCCCCGGGGCCGTCTCATATTCCAGAGCGCGCCCTACAAACCCATGAACACTCTCACGATGATATCCAGCTAACGATAGGTATCACTGACTTTTGCAGCTTGCTCCTTGCGTCCTTTCTCTTTGTTACCGTCGCGCCATTGGCATGCGCGTCAGCCACATACCCGCCCCCCTTCGTTCCTCCCGCCGTACGTTGACGAGCTATCGCAATGGCATTACACTTGGATCTACCACGAGAATCCCTCGAAGAAGACGAGGCCCTCTTAACCCCGACAGAACCGGACTTTCTTCCACCGCACAAATCGACCAAGAAGCCATGGGTACTCCTCGTAGTGCTCATCTTCATCATTGTCGCAGTCGTCGATGTGGGTGCCTACCTTGCCGAGCCACCTCTGACACGTCTATTTGAGGAGAATCTATGTCTCAAGTACTACCGCGAACAAGACCCTTCGGTGATCGATGGCGACGGAAGCATACCAGAGCAGCTGTGCAAGGTGGATGTGGTGCAGCAGAGACTCGCCACCATTTTTGGCTGGCAGGACATGTTCAGCGCGATACCGGGCATTCTTTTGGCTGTACCATATGGCACTTGGGCAGACAAAGTAGGGCGGAAGTGGATCGTCACAGCAAGCTTGGTCGGGTTGGACCTTGCCTTCGTCTGGGTGATGATAATAAGTAAGACGGCATTGCACGAATCTTGTACATATGCTAACGTATGGGTAGCCTACTTCAATTCTCTCCCTTTACAGCTGACGTGGTTCTCGAGCGCCTTCACGATCATCGGCGGCGGTCCAATCGTAGCCATGGCTATCGGTGTAACGATGATCTCCGACATCGTACCTCCAGAAAAGCGAACGACGGTCTTCCTATACCTGACGGCCTGTGTCCTTGTTGCAGAAATGCTGGCACCGATAATGGCAGCGAGGCTGATGGAGAGCGGGAACTGGCTGCCTCTGCTATTGTCACTAGCGATACAGCTTATGGGGGTTGTTGTGGCTTTGTTCGTCCCCGAGACGCTGCACCTGCGCGATCTGCCTGAACCCAAGGACAGCGGAGACCAGGTCTTCGAGCTACAGCCCACGCCTACAACCAGCCACTTTTCGCTGCGAGCACAACTCCGCAACTTCCAGGATGCAGTGCACTTCCTGAGGAGCGATTGGACCTTGAGCCTGGTCGTCCTTACGTTCTTGGCCAATAGACTGGGCAGACAGTGCATCTCGCTCTTGGTCCGTTATGCTTCAAAGCGTTACAACTGGGAGATCAAGAAGGCCGCCTACTTGCTCTCATTCCGCGCAGCCACCAACTTGGTGGCTGTCACTATCTTGATCCCACTAGCAAACTTCTTCCTCTTGAAGAAGCTGCGATTCCCTGCACACTGGGCCGATCTCTGGATCGCACGCGGATCCATAGCTTTTACTACCATTGCCTTCTTCGTCATGGGTATTGCCGCGCATCCTTCACTTCTGATCATTGGGCTTCTCATTTACAACATGGGAACTGGCTACACCGCTGCAATGCGATCTGTTTCCATTCATGTTGTGGGCGGTCAGTCGAGTCCTGATATTGGCAAGCTCATGAGCACCATTGCGATTGCAGAAAGTATTGGCGCCATGATCGCGGGCCCACTGCTGAGCGAGCTGTTCCAGGTGGGTATTGGTCTTGGCGGCGCCTGGCTTGGTTTACCTTTCTTGACCTCCGTTGTGGTATTCGCGTTCATGACTGTTGTGACGAATTATATTGACGTGGGGGATAAAGAGCCGTCTTATGTGCCGGTGGATGACGCGGACGAGGAAGAGATACGCACGAGTGCGCTGGACCGCGAGGAACTCGCCAGGCATAGAGACTTGCCATGATCATAATATACAGGCAGACAATTTGACTTCTCATGCCCGATGGCGAAGGCTTTCTTTCGAATTTGGGGCACATGCCATGTTATCAAAATGGTAATATTTTCCCGGGAAGGCGCGTTCCAGAGACAGCGGTATCTCCTGCCATGCGAGGCCTCAAGTCGCCGCTTCTTCCACAGCATAGGCAGTGACGTACAAGACTGCAACTGCCGCAACAACCGTTGGCTGTTGTGTCTTTCTTCCCACATGTTCGAATGCATCACCTCTCGTACCATACCGTTGGTCGTGCTTCATTACCGCTGTTTCTGCTACATGCCGTCAACACGTCTTTAGCACTGCTTCGCTAAGTTGGCCGCACCCTCTTACCGCACTACTCCAGCAACCACAGTTTTATCCTGCCACTCCGATGCTTGCTCGTGCGAATAGCGATGCAGGCACCCGACTCCGCCGGTCCAAGTCTGCCTCGACCGTCCACAAACGTCCCACTTCCATCGCCGAACCGCTGGATCTAGATGCGATCAAACAGCAGGCCCTAGCTGCAGCCACTGCTGCCTTTGCTCGTGCGCAAGCTCAAGATGCGGCAGACCGTAACGCAAAGCGCAGTGTCGAGCTGGCGAGATCGAAGAGCAACGCCAGCCGCAAGTCTCTCACCTCGCAGGGCAGCCACTTCCCACCTCGCGACTCGAGCTTCCGGTCTTTGCAGCGTCCGACTGCCGAGCAGACGAGAAGTGCACAACGCCTGTCACAAGCTTCAGCAGACTCTACGGAACAGAACACGGAGCAATTCCCGCCGTTTTATCCTACTCCCAGCGTTCATGAGTCGCTTTCCATACCGCGGTATCTATCGACGCAGCCTTCGATCACGTTCAGCGAAAATGCTAGACCGAGTTCCCAACCAAAGTCATTCCGACAGAGTGCTTCGTCCTCGATTACCTCGCAGCAGATACGGAAGGCGCGTTCCATGTACTACGCAAGTAGTGTTCAGACCGGCTCGCCGATTGCTCGGCCGCCGTCCAAATATCTTACAACGCCACCAGTAGCAAGCATTAGCCCGGTATCAGAACCCTCGCCCATACCTTTACCCTCTCGAACAATTCGGCCGTCACCACTAGCAGGCCCGCGTATGCCG